ATATGTCTTCTCTTGAAATCCTCAACTCACAGTGTATCTACATTTTGTTTTATTGTCGTATTCGTGCATCTAAAGCTTTATCTCCACTATTCATTCATTTAACCTGTTGTGGCTGATGAGACATGTGCCTGGGGCTGAGCTTGAACTCCTCAGTCTTTTCAGAAGAGAATAAGATGGATATGAAGCAGCTACATGGATGGAAGATTTTCCAAGATGCAATTGATCCTCTTCCTTTGCAGTCACAGCCTATATTAAGGACATCAGTTTGTTCCCTAAATATAATCGTCTACTAAAGGAAGACCAGATGCCACCTCCACATATGTTTTTCTTTTTTGATGCATTCAGTCTATACCATGGTTTTTATTGAGGTCATGATACATGGCTCCCTCCTCCCCCAGTTGGCAAGGTGACCATCTGGGTGGCTGCTGTTTGTGCCCCCTGCTTACTTCCAGAACCTCCATTCTTAGAGCCCACCACGTCGCAGCCATCGCCCATGATTATCCTTTCCTTGTCCCTTTCTGGGCAGCTCACTGCTCATTGTTTCATGACGTTCACCCCTTCTCTATGTGAGTTTCGGGATTGTTTAAAATTTATGGGTCAGTGAACTAGTCTTCTGTTTTTGAGAAAAATCAGATTACATATTTTAAGGTATCTTTTCTACTACTTTTAGATTTTGAAGCAAGAAGAAGAAACATTGTAAGACTTCTAAATTAACTTCTAAATTAATTTGTGATGATGAACTATGTTCTACTAAACAAGGCAGGAGCTAACTGCCTTTCTGATAGCTCTTTCTAAGCAGCCTGAGTGTGTTCACTCCAGCTCCTCTAAATCCCTTTGCTGTGAAAACACAAGCTGAGAGGAGCTCAATCCCAGCACAAAGATGCTACAGATCAGCAGGGAAAGCTGATTTCTTTCAAGCTATTTGCCTAACAACTACTCTCCAAGTACTTTCAGTATTTCACCTTAATTTACAGCCCTAGTAATACACAACATATTGACATCTCTTCACAGAACACACAAGTATCATTTGATTGAGACATGTTGCTAGTATTTAGGCCCTGAACAAGAATCTAATTTTATTGTAATGGCTTGGCAGATACAAAATTCCAACCTCACATTGTGTCTAGAAAGAAAGAAAGAAAGAAAGAAAGAAAGAAAGAAAGAAAGAAAGAAAGAAAGAAAAGAAGAAAAGGGCACTTGAATAAACTTGAGTAAGCTAGGGTAGGGTGTCAACTTGATTCACCTTGAGATCCACCCCTGGAATCAGTGGAATACACTTTTGAGTGTCTATGGATGAAGCATAAGGGTATGACGTAGGTCATTATATCCAAGTCCTGGTCTACTACCTATAACAGCATTATTACCCTGTCCAGTTCTCCAGTGGACATGTACTACCTTCTGTGACAATAATGTTTCTGCCTTGTAACAAGTTGACCTTGGACTGGGTCCATGTTAATCATAAGCTAAGTTAAACTTCTTTTTTAAATTGTGAGTTTTCTGTACTGTGTTCAGCAATGGCTACTAGTACAGAGAACTGGTACTAGAGAAGTTCTATGACTATGCTTGAATATGTGGTTTAGAGACTTTAGAACCAGTTTATAAGAGAAGTTAAGAAAGGCTTAGAAATACAAGCTAGAGAACCTTTAGAATGCTGTAAGCAGAGCCTGATGGGAAATGATGATGGTCAGAACTTAAAGAAAAACCAAGCACACTGATAGAAATACAGACAGTAAAGACCAGGCTTAGTGAGTTTCAGTTGGGAGCAAGGATTCCACTAGCAGTTGAACTACAGGCCATATGTGTTATACTCTGTCAGAAAATGTGCCTACATTTTTCCCATATTCTGAGACTTTTCATAAAACAGAGATTAGGGGTGGTAGACTAATTAATCTGATGGAATATATTTCAAGATAGTCCAATTTTCAAGTCACGATATGGGTGCATGTGGTTACTTTTACTTAAATTTATGGCGAGAATCAGAGACCCCCCCCCAAAAAAAAAGATAAAGCAAAAAATTTTGAAAAAACAAATTTAGGCACAGAAAGAAACAGATACGAAGGTGGAGCCAAATGAGGTTGACTACTGAAGAAATTAGGGTCATTAAAAATAGAACAAGTACTTTGTACAGGAACAAAGAAGAAAAACTTCTTAGAGGCATTTCAGGAACTAGCAAACCCTCATTTCTTGTTGGCTCAACCATGCAAAGGTGCTAACATTTTTGTTGAGAAGAGAACCTCTTGGCTCCTTGTTCTAGAAGAGCCTTCAAAAGAATTACTTAACCTGAAATCCATTTCACCACACTCAGATATCCAGGCACTCCTAAACTGTTGCTGCCACAGTACCACGCTGGTGGTAGAGCGTGGCTTAATCCATATGGGGCTAGTTGTACTGGAATATAGAATGAAAGAATTGCAAGGCCAAGGAAGCTCCCACTCACATTTCAAAAAAAAATAAAGACCAAAAAAAACCAGACAAGGAGCCCCTGAGAGGGCCAAGTATTAAGCTATGAAAATAAAACCAAAGATATAGTGGAGACTCCAGAAAGTTAGAAATACCAGGAGTGTGAAACATCTGCTGAGGAATACAGCAAGACATGAGAGAATTCAGCCCAAGAGAAAAACGGCCATGAAGGCTGCAACTGGCAATGCCTTATGCATGGGCTCATCCAAGGCTTCAGAGCTCACATCTCAGCCAGGAGTCCTGGATGCTAGATATGGAGCTATAGCTTAATGCTTGTTCCGCTTGGCTTTGGTCTTATTTTGGTCCAGTTCTTAGCCATTCTTCTATTTCTCCTTCATTTAATGGGCTTGTTCACCATTGATATTTTATTTTGGGATGATTTAACTTGTTTTAATTTTTACACATGCTTACAGAGTTTGCCTTGAGTCTCAAAACCTAGACTTTTCAAAAATATTGGAAATACTATAATTTTTGTGGAAAGAGGTCATTGCATTTCAGAAACACACGGGATAGCTGTTTTTATATTTTGCGGAATTATGAACTTGTTATCTCTTCGTTTGGAGAATATGGTGTAAGTTGTGTTTGTGTATAAGACTGATAAGGGATGAGAGATGGTACTTGGGGTGGATGTCAACTAGATTGGTTTTGAAATTCACCTGGGAAATGAATGGCACATGCTTGTAGGTGTATCTCATGAGTCACAGAAGCACAACATTGATGTACCTCATGGATCTATATCTGGTCACTGGTCCTTCCTTCGGCAATCCTGCCCTACACTTTACAGCTTCTAAAAGCTAAACAGCTTTGCTTCACCATGCCTTTCCACTTTGAACTTTCTTTCTTGGAACCAGCTGACTATGGACTGAATCCCCATAAAATATGACCTAAGTTAAACCTTTCCTCCTTTAAGTTATAAGTGCTGTACTTTACACCCAGCAATATGGAAGATAACATAACACTGGAGAATGAGCAATGTAAAAGAGGGTGATAGAGAAAGAAAGGGTGTGAGATAGAGAAGTGTGGGAATTGGAGGAAAAACATGAAAGTAATACATAGCCATTGTATTCAGGGGTTGGCCAGGGGATACAATATAATTCAGTACACATAAGACTGTTTTATGATAGTTACCCAAAGAGTCATATACAAAGAATGCAGGAAATCTGTCCACACACTAAAGACCAAAGATTCCACTTGAGGGCCCGGATTCCACAGTAATGTCCTGCATGAGTCAAGCTGAAGTCACACACACACACTCACACACACACACACACACACACACTTATATCTATGTATATAGAGGTGAATAAATAATTTCAGTAACAATTTCTAGGTCAGTATTTAATGAAAATTCTCCTACCATCTTGCTTTATTTCTCTCTTGTTCTAAGTCTGGTGCTCCTGTCATGTGTGCATTTCTTCCTGAATGAAATATTGACAAGCTATCAGATGCTAGTGCCCAAGACAATGGCTTGTGCTTCGGCATCTGAATCTTTACTTATCTATGACTCCTCTATTTTCCCCTTCCAGATTCCATCCAGTATGAGAGCTATGGTTTAATTGCACACTTATTTTAGTAATACTCGCCTTCTTCTACTTGTCCTTACAGTTACAGCAAAGAGAAAATCCAGGTTTTAGATATGTAGGGAATAGGTCATTTTGCAGCACAGATGTTTTCCGTAGCTATGTAATTGTAGGGAAGTACTGGTGAGGGTGTCGCTCTAAAGCAGGTGAATGTGAGATGCTTCCGCAGGAAAAAAGGGCAAATCATTGCTATTTTAGGTGATTATTTTCTGGATCTAATGCGCCTGCCCCAGGGCAGGTCACCAGGAAGCCTTCAGGGTGATTGTTAGGTTAAGTTGCAAGATACTAGTGGAATTTACTAGGACAGAAATTACACAATTAGGTCATGAAGACAGTTTCTACAATATAATGTAGAGGAACTATCTAGGAAACAACAAAACTTAGGCGTCAGTGCCATTAATATAGCTCAAAAACAGAACCAAAAATACAACTGCATGGCACTTGGCTCGTGCACGTACCAACATCTGAGGACAAATTTCAGACATATTGCACAAGGACTTAGTGTGGGAAGATAAATGAGAGTGTGAGGAAGAGGAAAGGAAGAATGAAAGGCGAAAAGAGAGAGACCTTATAGGAGTTGACAAAGACAGTGTGTCAAAAATTGGGGGCGTAAATAAAATCACCCATCTTCTCTGTCCCATAGGTCAGGAGCTCAGAGGCACCTCTTCCAAACTCTGACCTTCCACATCACAGGTAAGAAATCTGGCCTGAGGGGCCCAGAGAGCAGCAACTGTGTGCAGTGTTTTTGTTCCTCATAGGCTGAAGCATGAGATTCAACAGTTAGTACAAATCTCAACCCCTTTCCAAAGAAAAACTCCAAGAACTCCACAGGAGCGACCTGGGACCTTTGAACTACATTTCCCAGAGATCCCTGGGCTGAATCTACGCAGACACGGGGGTGGGGACTTCGAAAAGCCCTTGAAAACCCGGCAGGCTTTGAAAGAAGCAGGAGTGGAGACTGCCTACTTCCTGGCTGCCGTGCCTGACCCCTGGGTAAGTGAAACCCTTTGACGGACTTGCTCTGTACTTTGTAACTGGTCTGATCTCACGAAGGACTCTGGAGGGACTTTGACTCTAAATTTCAAGTTCTAGAATTTGTTCAGAATGTTTAGGTGGGACATATGTGGGCTCTAGTGCTGTAATACTTTGGTATACAGACAGTTGGTTTGAACTCAGAGTCACAGCCTTACCACACTCTACCGGTAAGGATTTAAGGAAATCATTTAGGTTGTCTCAAACGCAGTTTATCCACTGGTAAAATGGAAATGAATACTATGATTTGCTTAAATGTTATCCTGAGGACTAAATAGGCCCATTAAAAGGTAGCAGTGTCTAAGGGCAATTCCTCCCAGGGGAGGAGTACTCTTCAGTACTTTAAGTCCCTTGGTCTCTAGCAGTAATCCCACAAGGGGCAGTCTCATCATAATTCCTGCTTCTCTTAAATTAACTGATTAGAAATCTCCTAAAGATCCCAAATATCTAGTAAGGTTGGTGGATATTATCTGTAGTCACTAGAGGAGTTCTGGGGGAGGGGGTGTTATTTCTTGGAAGGAGGCTTAGTTGGGAGGGTCTTCCCCTGCTGTAAGTGACCATTATCACATTTAGCCCCTCTAGGCAGGTATCTTCCTGAGCACAAACTAGACTGTGTAGCAGCCAGGAAAGAGCCCCAGGAGTTAGTGGCCTGCTGGACACAGCTCAGTGCTACGGCAGGGCGCCTGAAACAACTATTCATTTCTAGTACTCTGTTCTCTCCTTACTGAGGCCACTCCTTTGTTGTCTCAAACTTTAAGCGGCTGACTCCACCCTGCCTCTCAGAAAGATCTTAACTGTCATCCTCTAGCTACTTCCTGCCCGGAAGCCTACTTAGCATAGCCTTTCCTGACTGGAGCCTTAGCTGCAGTTTCCCTTTCCATTTGCTTGCCGGGTCTGCTGCTATACCCCCTCCACTCCCCCACCCCCAATATTGGCTGGCTGCTGGGAGTCACAGCAGAGATGCAAGTGTGCCGTACACGGAGGGCGGTGGGTAAATGCTCTTTACACATGGCCAGCAAAGCTGGAAGGGCCATCAGGCTTGGTCTCATTGCTAAGCACATACTGTCTAAAACAACAAAGAAAACATAGAAGCAAGGGAGAAAAATACACTTGCAGGTCAGAAGTGACTTGGTATTTCTCCATAGAGTTTCTGTTTAGTATTGACAGAAGGCCGTGCAGTAGATGCAGAAGATTCCATCTCAAGCCCCAACTGCGATATAAGTGCTGTGAGACAAGCCACAGCATCCAATAAGGGGTGTCTCTCTTGATAAGTTCCTTTTTAATTTCTCTTACATTGGGCTTCTGCTCACACCAGCATCTTTAGGAAATCAAGATTTGTTTTTTTTTTAAGCCAAAAATTGAAAAGCACTGTTGTACATGAAAGATGCAGAGATACTAGGATTGAGACTCGCAGCGACTTCTGGATGTCACCCTACACTTCCACAGTCTTTTGATGGAAGGGTTGTGTCATTCACAGATCAAACCCTTACGTTTGTCTAACTATTCCATGTTAACCAGATATCTGCAGAAATGAGTAAAACATTTACAGGTTGGCACGATCCTCAGAAGTTGCTTCCTTGACTGTGTCTCAGCTAGCCGCTCCCCAGAATGAACACCAAGGTGACCTGAGTTCTGTTCTTCCAAACCAGACACTGGGACAATGTAGTGGGACAATTGTAGACACTGTGCAGGTAGCTTAGGGAATCTGCTTGCTGGGAAATTCAGCTGTGCCTGTATGTTAATGATTGACTCCAAGTTTGTGCAGCCCAGCTCAGTAATGTGCTCCTGTCATTCCTGCTGGAGGAGAGACAGAAGTGAGAGGAATGCAGCAGTTAGCACACAGCGTGGGCATCTCAGCATGACCTTGTGTCCCCACAATAAAAAGGGTGAAGCCATAGCTCAGTGGTAGAGTATTTGTATAGAATATGTGAGGACCAGGTTCAATACCAGTTGTTGAAAGAAAGAGTAATCATCTCAGATTGAAGGCAAAGCAGCGAGGCTAAAGGACCTTGTTCCAACAAGCTGTTGACCCAGGGCTTATCAGACAAGTTATCAGTCTCTTCATATCCAGCTCAGAAAAATAGGGCAAGGAAATTTCAGGAAAACTTGCTCCTGCAAGGAGAATCGTGGGGTGTTTTTTTTTTCATTATTTTATTGAGAAACAAATAGCAATGAGACAGTTTCAAATCAAACTGGTAAGACAATTCCAATAATTAACACATTGCATGCTGCCTTCCTAGTGGTTATTTGTTGTACAAGATGCAGACATGATATCCTGTTTACAAACACAATTAGAACAAATCTTTCTATTCCTTTAATTAAAAGAATGTGGCTATATATCTATCCTAACCCTTTTTGAATACACAGATACAAAATGGTCATTCATCTGTATCCCCTTTTCTTGTTTAGTTCCATCATTTAATATTATAGGTGTGTGAACTCAGCACAATATTCCAAAATAGCCCAGTAGTCCATAACAGTATTGGGTCTTCTGCTTGACTGGCAATGTGAGAAGTTGTTGACCTGAGTCCTCTGCAACTCAACATAACAACATGGCCTTATTTCTTGTACTTCGTTTTTATACTTTTCTGCTGGATGGTTAAGACCAAGATAAAGCAAAATCTATGTAACAAGAGTTGGAGCTTTTGGATCTGATAAGGTCAGTGAAATCCCCTCAGGATTTATCCCGAGACACTGTATCTCAGACTGTAGATCCTTTGTCAGTGTCAGCCATGTGGATGAGTCATGGCCATTGCTTGGCCAGTGTGCTCTCTGTGAAAGCCTGAGAGAACATTTTCTCTCCATGTGACTCTGCTTAGGCACACTCTACATCATCGATCACTTTCCTCTTTGGCCCCATAATCTCCTTGATCAAAAAATTTAGGACACAACTGAGTTACATGATGTTACAGTACAAGTTCTTATTTGTCCTGAGTCTTAATTGAGCTTGGAAGGCTAGGGCCAAAATGTTGGCTGAGAATTGTGTTCTTATCGTGGCCTTTATGATAACAACTCAGGTCAGGCCAGGGAAATAGGCAAATGGTAACAGAAATATAAAACGTTGCAGGGCCTTAACAGAAAGCATTGGCCCCAGACTAACTTCAGTCCTGAAGCTCCATCAGCTCCACATGCCCTCACAGACCCACTAATCAAAATTCCTTCTGTTAACTATATGCCTTAAGGGGGACAGGAAACCCTAAGGATTCCATGTGATTCTTGGTACATGGTTTTTTTTTGTTTGTTTGTTTGTTTTTTTTTTTTCTGTATCAGAGATCAAACTCAGGGCTTGCCAGGCAAGCATTTATGCTGCTGAGCTATATCCCCAGCCCCTTGGTGCATTTGCTTTATTTTTCTTAAAGTATATTAGGCTAGGAGTGTGCTCTCCAATTCTTTGATGGCACTGTTTCTCCCTCTGATTATACCTACATGATTCTGTTTTCTGTTTCAATAATTTAATGTGAATATGTTCTGTTACAAAATGTTGTAGTTGGATAACCATTGGGCTGAACATTTCCAACACTTGTGTTACCAAGGTAAGCACTGAAAGGTTTCTGTCCAATCAGAAGCCACCAAGTAACATCGATGATGAACTTCCATTCTAGCAAGTACATTTCTTTGGTTGGTTTCTGTGGCTGTCTTATTAAAGTCTCTTTCCTCTCTTCCTCCCCTTTGTCCTCCTCTTTTCCATCCTCCTCCTTTCCCACCTGCAGCCTTAAATGGCCTGGGGTCCAGTGCTGTCTGATTGATGAATTGCAGTCTGCTCCAATAAGCTCTTTAGAATCATCATGTCCCTGAGTTTGTCACTTAACAGTTTCTCTGTTGATGGTACTAGCTCCGATCTTCTCTGGTCTTTCTCACTCTTCGGATTTAATTTCCACAGATTCCTGGTTCTGCAGAGCTGGACTAGGTTTTTCACCAGCCTGTGAGTTCATCAACCACTGCTCTTAGCAACTCTTCATTGTGATGCACTTTTAGTTTTCCTTTTGACTTCCTTCTTCCCTTGTCCCCAAAGAGCAACCACTTCATCTGAACAGCTTATAGCTTTGCATTTCTCAAGTTCTTTTATGTTAGAGATTGTCTATATGTTTGTGTCTCCATTTTGATTCATGTAACCATAAAAATGGTCCTTGAGCCTTGGACAGTCTAGCAGTGCTCTGTGGACTTTACTGATCTGCCTCATTTCAGATATTTCTGTGGCACATTCTGCTGCCTACCTGATATGTTCTTCATCATGAATTGTGTTCCTTCTCTACCACAAGTTTCAGTATTTCTTATTAATTTTAAATTTCAAAAATTTAACAAGAGGGGCTGGAGAGATGGCTCAGTGGTCTAAAGCACCTACTTGGAACTAGCTTGGCAAAGCATCAGGGACTGTGGTTCAATCCCCCAGCACCACATGCCAGCCAGCCCCGCCCCCTGGTGGGCTGAGCTGGCCACACACACACACAACACACTCTCTCTCTCTCTCTCTCTCTCTCTCTCTCTCTCTCTCTCTCTCTCTCTCTCTCTCAAATAAATAAAAAAAAATTTAAAAAAAAAAATTTAACAAGAATGTAAAACTTTCCAGAGTCATCTTTCCTTCTTTTCCTTCTGTTTCATTTCTGGAAATTTTTAAATAGATGGATGGATAGATAGATAGATAGATAGATAGATAGATAGATAGATAGATAGATAGATAGATGATAGATAGATACTGAAAGATGTGTCTTTTACAGATTACCTGTTATACTTCTTGATTTCTCCTTTCCAGAAGCACCAAGTGGACTGCCTTTCTAATTGCTCATTCGACATGCCTCCCAGAGCTTTGTGGGGAAGTGATTGTGCCATTGGTGTCTCTTATTCTGCAGAGTTCATCCCTGATGAGGTTATAGCTAAGAGTGATAGGAAGAGGCAAAGCCACAGTGAAGGAGGTGGTGCCCTGGGAGCGGGGCCTGGGAAGGTCCATCTCCCTCCTTCTTCCCTGGTGTTTTGTCTTCTTCAAATCCCCATGCCGTGGGCTCTCTGTCCTCAGCCAGGCCCCTCTGCCATGCCACCTGGCCTTGGAGCCAGCTGACTATGGACTGGGACCTCTACAAACTCCAACCCAATGTAAACCCTTCTTCCTTTCATCTTGTGGATGTTGTGTATTGTGTCTCAGCAGTGGGATTTTATGACAGTCTTCTACCCATTTTTATTATCCCTAAACTTACTTTTTTGGAATGGTGTTACCTTTTTATAGTCTTTCATTATAAATATGTTTTAGGGCAGGCCAAATAGCTCAGTGGATTAAAGCACCTGCTTAGGCAGACACAGTGGGCCTGGAGTTCAATCCCTGGGCCTGCCATGCCAGCCCTGCCCCTGGGGCACACTAAGATGGCGATTGAGACTGGACATGGTGGCGCGCACCTGTAATCCCAGAATTTGGAAGGCTGCAAACAGGAAGATCACTATAAATAAATAAATATATTTTCTTCCAATTCCTATATTAAATAGTATCTTTACAGTTCTCTTTTATCATTATGTATTATCTCTGTGATCAGTATATTTTCTGTTTTCTCAAATGTTTCTTTAAAGAGACCTGACTATGTCTTCATTTTATTCCTTTACTTTTTTAATATATTTTAGTACAGGGTCTATAGGGTCTCACTACACAGATTGGACTGATAGTGATCCTCCTGTTTTCAGCCTCTCAAATGCTGTGATTATAGGCTTGTGCCACCATGTCCAGTCTCAGTTGCCATCTCAGCGTGCCTAGGGGGGTGGGGTCACGTGGGGAGTGGGGTGGGGATCGAGCCCTGGTCCCTGCATCTGCCTAAGCAGGCACTTTAGGCCACTGAACTCACTGGCCAACCCCTAACTTTTTGTTAATAACTCCATTTCACAGGTTCCTGCCAAGTTCTTAGGCATGTCGTTATATTTATTTCTGTTCATTTTTCTTCTTTTACTCGTTGCTTTTTTTTTTTCTTTTGTCGGAACTGGGGATGGAACTCAGGCCCTTGCGCTTGCCAGGCAAACACTTACTCTACTGAGCCATCTCCCCAGTCCCACTCGTTGCTTTTTGACATGTAAGTTACATGTTACATCTTTTCTTTTAACCCCAATGCATACTATATTTTAATATATTTTATCATCATATTCCTGTATGTAGAGCTGTGTCTCTGCTGGGTTTTCTGCTTTCAGACCATTTCTTCCTTGTCCTGTCCCTGTGTCCACAGCAAGAGGTGCTTTCTCATCTAGAGGAAGCCAGGTGTTACCCCTACATGCCACACTGTGCTGTATCAGCTCAATGTATTGGCAGTAATCAGGGGCGTGGAGCAGGCTTTAGTCCACCTTCCTGTTGCCATAGCAGGTGTCTGGGTGGTGGCTTCTGTGATGCCTGTAGGGGCTTCCAAGCCCCCAGGCTTCCACCCTCAAGCGTGTCTTCAGTCTCCCATCGCTTTACTTCCCTCACCCTTGTCAGGGACCCCCAATTGCTTACCACTTGGTCAGCTGTCTGCCTGTTCTTGCTGATTACATGCTCCTCATAAGTAGTGGTCAGTAAAACTGTTCTTTTGTTTTTGATAGGAACAGCTTATGTATTTCTTAAACTATTTCCCCTGTCATGTTTAGAATTTGTGTCAGGAAGAAGAGATACTCTGAGACTTTGACCATCACCCTGTGTTCAGCTTGCCAGAACAGGTACGCAGTGCCTTCCTGAGGGTTCTCATGGGCTCGCTGCGTGTGCTCACCTGCTTTCTGCAAGTCTCCTGTGTGGATGGCCAGCCTGAAAGAAGCTGTGCTCCCGCTCAGGGATGATACCACTCTGTGTGCAAAGCCGATGTGGTCTGCACTGCCTCTTTCCCTGGCAGCCACTTTCTGAGTGCCTTCTTGTTGGACACATTTTAGAACTACAAATGTTTTACATTTGTTCACAGAGTACCATCACTGCCTACAGCACATTGCTGGTATTGAGGTTCTTAACAAATACTGATTTCATTTTGAGAGACCTGAAATTATTAAATTCCATCTCAACAACATCATCTTAAAATCAAAAAGTACCAAAGGCACCAGAGTAAAAAGGAATGGAATTGAGCATTGCAGGCTCACAGAGGAAGGAGCAAAAGCTTGAAAACAAATGACACAGTGTAAAAGGAATAACAGCAAATGATCGCTGCAGCAATAAATGGCCCCTTGTGTATAAGGCACCTTATTTCTCCAAGTCGCTCTTCACCTCGTTGCCACACATGTTCTGTAGCTTCTGCTGAAGGAGCCAAGGAGGTACTGGGGAAGCTTAGCCGTCATTATTCTCTGAGTCAGATTTGTAGAGATTTAGTTTGTACAAATGTGAAGAGGTGCTGGTGCAATGAACCTTGAAAAGAAGTGCAAGGACTCAGGTACATCAATGGAAATGTAAACAGAAGGATATGCCCAAAGTTTTTAAGTTTTTGTTTTGCTTCTGGGTTTGAAGGAAGCTCTATTTCCCTGTTTGGTGCTGTATATTAGGGTCACCCACAAAAGTCCATACAATACTTAATGAGGGAACAAATTAATAAGCCAACCAAACAATGACTGACTGAATCGATGTAAATCTTTAAGTGGACAGTTTTATGTTTTAGCTAATAAGTAGCTTAACTGAGTCATTTCTAATATCATCTACTCTACTGAACACTGCTTGTGCTCTTATGGGGAAGTGGGAACTTGCCTAATTTATTTACTCACTTATTTGTGAAAGGATATTTCAGGATTCCCTTAAACTCACTGTGTACCCCAGACTGACCACTTTCTCATAGAGATCCTCCTACTTCAGCATCCTGAGTGATGCGATTACGGGCATGTACCACCAAGACCTACTTAGAAGCCTAATTTAAGAGATATAAGATGGAATATATTTTTTTTTTCTTTTCTCCATGAGAAAATCACATACAAAGTATTTACCATTAGGCTCATTATTTAACCTGGATTTCTAATATCTGATACTTCAAAGTTGAAAACAAAAATTATAAAGCATTTTTCTAGGGTGACTGAGAATATTTAGTGAAAATGGGAATGTAAGTTCTTACAAAATTATTACAGATATTTGTAATGATTCTTTATATTTGCATACTAAAAACCTATTCTAGCTATAATAAGCCTACTTGTGAAAATCCTAGTTTCACAGTGGTAATATTTCTCCTTGATTTCTTTTCCTTGATTCAAGGGACCATGGACATTGAAGCTTATTTTAAAAGAATTGGTTATAAGAACTCTAGGAACACATTGGACTTGGAAACATTAACTGACATTCTTCAGCATCAGATTAGAACTGTTCCCTTTGAAAACCTTACCATGCACTGTGGAGGATCCATGGAGTTAGGCTTACAGGCAGCTTTCGATCAAATTGTGAGGAAGAACCGGGGTGGCTGGTGTCTCCAGGTCAATCACCTTCTCTACTGGGCACTGACTATGATGGGGTTTGAGACCACAATGTTGGGAGGATATGTGTATAACTCACCAGCCAAGAAATACAGCAGTGCTATGATCCACCTTCTGGTACAGGTGACCCTAGATGGCAGAAGCTACATTGTTGATGCTGGGTTCGGACGCTCCTACCAGATATGGGAGCCTCTGGAGTTAATTTCTGGGAAGGATCAACCTCAAGTGCCTTGCATATTCCGCTTGACAGAAGAAAATGGAATTTGGTACCTAGACCAAATCAGGAGAGAACAGTACATTCCACACCAAGAATTTCTTAATTCTGATCTTCTAGAAATGGAAAAATACCGGAAAATCTATTCCTTTACTCTTGAACCTCGAACAATTGAAGATTTTGAGTCCATAAGTACTTACCTTCAGACATCTCCAGCATCTGTGTTTACAAGTAAATCTTTTTGTTCTTTGCAGACACCTGAAGGGGTTCACTGTTTAGTGGGCTGGACTCTCAGCTATAGGAGATTCAGTTATAAGGACAATGTAGATCTGGTAGAGTTTAAGACACTGAAAGAGGAAGAAATAGAAGAAGTACTAAAAACTCTATTTGGTGTTTCATTAGAGAGAAAACTTGTGCCCAAACATGGTGATCGATTTTTTACTATTTAGAGTAAGCATCAGCAGTAGACTTCCAAGTATTATATATAATTAACTTTTGTCATCAAAATTTCAAATATGAAAAGTATGATTGATGGAAAAAATAGTCCTAAGAATTTTCATCTCTTGAAAATATCAGATAATGGGCAGAATACTCAATGTGACTAACTTTATGTTGATATTTGTGAACTAAGCAACTACATCGAAGACAACAATGTGTAATACCAAAACCATGCTTGAAATACCTGTCATCTTGGTCTTCTAAATGTGTACCATTTCTAATATCAAGTAAACTTTTTTTAAAAAAATAATAAAAGAAAATGAGAGCAAAGAACAAACATTTAAGAATTCTTGGAAGTATGTGGCAATATTCAATCATATGTCCCATCTTATGTAACTGTATCTGTTCTTCTGAGCAACAGAGTTGACGATGAAAATAGATAATATATCAATCACTGTTGATGAGCTATTGTAATGAAAATCTAAATCTATAACATGTATATTGTATGTTACCGTTTCTGTCTTTGCTTTTGTTTTTCTTACTCTTGTTTTTACTTGTCAAAGAAAAGAAAATTATTGTTAAAAAAAAAATAAGCCCTTGTGTACTGAATATTCAGATCATCAGTGATCTATGATAATTTATTATATCCTCTCCATTCTTTAACATGTTATAATTTAGCCTTGAGAAGCCAGCATCCGGAAAGGAATGATGTCAGACACCAGGCTGTGAGGGTTATGTCCAGAGCACAGTGCTCTCAGGATGCATTGGAAGCTCCTCCTGGCAGGGATCTGAAGTAGGTGACACCACAGCTGAGGCAGCCACAGACGTGGGCTGCTGACACTCCACCCATAAGCCTTAGAGATCAGACAGTTCTCTTAATTTTAAAAAGTACTTGGAGAGGGAATGGGGAGATGGCTCAGTGGAATAAGCACTTCCCTGGCAAGTGCAAGTGTCTGAGTTCAATTCCCGGTTCTGATTTAAAAAAGAAAAGACAACTACTTGGAGAAATCTTTGCACTAATTTCCCAAGGTCTTGCTCATTTCCTGCCTGGACTTGATACCACCTTCTTTTTTTTTTTAAAGCCAAATAAATATGGGATGTCTAGAGAAGCTCTTATCTTTACTCCCAGACAGTTTTGACCTTCTTAGAGCCACCAAAGCCATAGCCCACTGTCACCAGTCACTTGTTTTGAAATTGAAGGCTAACCCGAGTTTCCGATAGAATAACTTTTTAAAGAAACATAGCTATACACCTTCATAAAACTAATTATGCTTGAATGCTTTTAGTGATAATGTGATCATTTTATGAACCATACTGATTCATGTTACAAAATTTCCTAGCATTGGTTTGTTATTGAATTCACAGCCATATATTGGTAGTTGTGTAAGGAGAACAGTGAGAAAAATTGTTTCCATGAAAGACAACCAGTTATTGTTAAAATCTCATTTTTAGAAAATATCACCTGTGTAGCTTAAGATTGAATGCAATGAAAAAGAATGAGACTAAATAACCTAATTGTCCTTAAGGCAATGCTTAAAGTCATACGTAAGACCTTGTGATTGCTCCAAGAGAGTGACAGAGCAAATCATTTCTCCCAGGATTTTTATGGCCACATTTCTTTGTAGACCGTTTTTCTTAATGAGGAAACAATGGTTTTTAAAATTAGTGACTTCTAGCCTGAAATAATTTATGTCTAAAATGATAATTATAAATGACAAAAGACATCACTTTGATAACTTATATTCTAAGAAGAATATTAACATATTGTCAGCTAGGTGCTGGTTAGATGGCACAGTGGAATAAGCGCTTCCCTGGCAAGCACAAGGGTCTGAGTTCAATCCCCAGTTCCGAAAAAAAAAAAAAGAATATTGTCAGCTATTACGTGAATTAACATTTCTAGTTGGAGATACAAGGAAATTATGGACTAGGTGTCGTCTGCCTGGAAATCTTAATGATTTCTTATTTACCTGTTTCATTTGTTTACTTCCACATTTTGTGAAAAACACATCAGTTTTTTGTGTATATTCAGTCTCCAAATCCAGTGGACTCACAGTGAATTACTCCCTAAATTTGTAGATTAAATTGCTCCAACACATAATACCATCCACACATGACACAGTGGCAAACCTAGATTAAACTATAAGCAAATGGTTTTGTACAGATGAATGAATAAGGTCAGTAAGTTAGGAGTGACGTCTCAATGGGAGTTTGTCATTGCATCCTGTCATTCTTCCACCTTTAGCGCATTATTTCCCCACATAATAATGCTTGAATTCTTTACACTATTCTCGCCTGTCCGCTTCATACTTGACAAATTGACAAGAAGTGAGAATGACAAAATAGATTTTCATATATGCTACTTTCCCAGACTGACCTCACTGGGCTGTGTTTCTTTCTTTGGGTGATGGCTGGTGGCTTCTTGTACACTTGAAGAGAACTTAGTTTCTTACATTCTGACCATGCTAATACAATGAAATACTGACGAGATCCAAGAATGGCTCAGGGAGAATTAAGTTCATTGTTTTGTACAGTGAGTAACCTAAATCTTCTTCTCTATGTATTGCCTAAGGAAAAAAGCCAAAAGGTTTGTAGAGAGACTCAGAGGAGTAAATTTTAGCTGTCAAATTGAAGAACTGGACCTCGATGGTTACCTTTTATCAGGTGAGACCTAAGTCACTGAAAGAAATTATCTTAGCATTCTGGCCAGAATTTTTTAAGGCATCCCTCCATTCTTCGTATTTATCCCAACTGTTATCTCTACTTTTGGTGGAATCTTTAGGTTTGGTTTGGGATGTGCCACTTCCTGTCAGGATCTCAGGACCAGTCATGTAGAGGCCAGATCCTTCCGATGTATCTGGGAAGGGTGTCGGGGTGTCGAAGCTCCTGTTCAGCTCCTTGTGTTTTCATGGTGAAGCTGAGCACAGTTATTTCCTTCCAACTCTATAAACTGAGCCAGGAGAGGAACTGTAAGCAATGCCCGTCCTCACAGAGATAGACCTTTTGACACATGGAACATGGCTTCTGGAAGTGGACACATTTTATGTTTGCATTATTGATTTGGCCGCTTAACATTGCAAAACTTCATGCAGCCAGAAAGGTTCTAAGGACAAAGTTTATAGCAGTAAGTGTCCTCATTAACAAGGAAGAAAGACTGTAATCAACAATCCAGTATTCTATCAACTGGTACTAGAAAAACAAGAATGGAGCTCAAAATTAATATAACAGAGAAAATGGTCACAACAGAAAAAAATTAAATATATGCTATTAAATGCAGAAAATTTCTACATCCTTGAGTTATATCTTTGAAAATTTAAATGAAATTGACAACTCTTAGCTATCTAATATTTCATTACAAAAAAGTTTAAGCTCATACACAAGTTCAAATAGTAAAATAGTAGTTCTTTGAGTACTTTTCATCGGGCTCACCAGTGACAAATTCATAATCTGTCTAGCCTCTATACTCCCAGATATATTGAAGATAATGCTAAACAGCACAGTATTTCATCCATAAAATCAGCATACATAATGAAATTATTATTTTATCAATACTTGTTTTTAGTACAGAATAAATGCATTCATTGTGGTATGGAATCAGGACACATCCTAAATTTTTTATGTTCCTTTCTCCCATTCTTCCATTTTTGGGGTCACATCACATTTACAGAATATCTCTCTCCCTGTTTGCCGTTATCTCTTTTATTTTGCTGTTCAATTTATCTATATTTTGATTTTCTTTCATTAAATGACTTTTTAAAAGCCTACCACCCAGTATTTGAAAGCTGATGTTGTGGGCTTTGCAGTCATACTAATCTTCCCTGGAAAGTCCTCCAACCCGGCTCTGTTGATGCTTTCATAGAACATTTAGGAAACTGAGTCAAGAGAATAGTGAGAAAACTATTTCCTATATATTCATTCAACCAGCATATTTTTAACCTGTAATTTTGACAAACTACAACCTGTGTAATTTAGGACTTAAGACCCGAATGGAATAATGAGGTATGGGTTTCAAATACCCTACTAATGTTCAAGACAAGACTGAAGCCAATTAATGGCACGATATGGCTCTGTGCAAAGAGAATGACACACCACTAAGTTTTTAGAAAGCTTTTACTTTAAATTGTATTCAACTAGTATCTGTGTGTATTACATAATGCTTTTAACCTTGACTTGGTACATACACACAATTCTTCATATGATTTTTTCATACCCTCTCCCTCCCCTCTCGCTCCTGTTGAGCCATCTCTTGATGCCCTCACTTTTTTCGGGTATACATTTGTAGTTCACGGTGCCACAGTATTTTATAAACATTTTGAAATATGGGAGCGTTGATATTTATAATTCAGGGGCCAGGGAAATAGCTCAGCAGAATAAGCTCTTCCCTGGTAAGCACAAGGGTCTGAGTTCAATCCCTGGGTCCACCAAAAAAAAAAAAAAAAAAAAAAAAGTTAAAGTTTTGGGCCAGCCCAATAGCTCAGCAGATTAAAGCACCTGCGAGCAGGAGCAGGGGCCAGGTGTTCGAGACTGGGCGTGATGGTGCTCTTCTATGATCCCAGCTCTTGGGAGGCTGTAAACAGGCAGATCACTATCAGTCTGATCTAGTAGTGAGACCCTGAACAGCCTGTAGATCCTTCCCTAAAAACACAAAAATAAATAAATATTTATAATTCAACTTTTTCATAATTAAATCATTTATGTCTAAAAGTAATAACCATCATAAAATATTGTTATAGAAATATTTGTTGCCTACACAGTGTACTAAAACATTATTGGCTCATATAATGTGAATCAAATTTGTTTTTCCCTTGGCAGCTCGGGACACTACGAGGCTAGCGGGTTTTCACACAAACCTTTCCTCTTCCTGTGTTTCTCTCAGTATGTTCCCTTTTTTCCATATTGTGCTTGACATTAAAAAACTTGGAGGGCTGGCCAAATAGCTCAGTGGATTAAAGTGCTTGCAAGCAGGTACAGGGGTTGAGGGTTTGATCCCCAGGCCTGCCTTGCCAGCCCTGCCCCCAGGGCACTGCGCTGAGACATTGATTAAAACTGGGCATGGTGGCACACACCTGTAATCCCAGCTCTTGGGAGGCTGTAAACAGGTGGATCACAATGAGTCCAATCTAGTAGTGAGACCCTGAGCACCTTGTAGACCCTTCCCTAAAAAATAAAAAAATAAATAAAATAAAATAAAAAACTTGGATACACTTTATGCAAAAATGAGTTCCCTTTTTCTTGACAAAGGATAAATTAC